TTGGTTACGCGTTCAGTTTTAAACTAAGCGCAATGTCGCCGCGTCGTGCGTATTTATCCCGTTCAAAGCAATCCAGATCGTTCTCGAACACTAACGCGCTGGTCCGGCTGGTCGGTTCTAGCCGATTCTAGCTTGATGGCGTCAGCGGCAGATCGCTCACCGCAACGTTGCCGCTGTTTATGTTTAATATTATGACAATTAGATTTTTTTGTGGAATTTTCGGAAGCTTCTCTGATTTTTGCAGTTTGTATTTTTTAAATTAAAATCGTTGTGAGAGCTACCAGAATTGCCTCCGCGAGCTACCGGTGGCTCGCGATCGACAGGTTGGCGACCACTGTTCTAGACTGTTAGTTCCTTCTGCCTGTGTGAAATACTGAAGAGTAAATGTGTTTTTGAAAGCTCTGGCAATTTGAATAGGAGTTGGGTTTCTAGCATTTCCACAAGTATTTCTCAGTTGTAGGTTTTCCCAAAGTTGCAGAAATGCCGAAATTGTTATCTACCACCCCTCAATGAATCTTATTTGTCCAGTCGAGTTTTTTCCTTTTTTTGATAGCACAGTAATTTTGCTGAAAAATATTTTCATTTCTTTCAGAAAATCAATTTGTTTTGATGTTCCAAAAAAAGGTTTATTGAAATCTTTGACATTGTCAAATCGATTCGAATTCGAAATATCAAACACATTATCCATTTTTTAATGAATGTAGCCGTCCCTATTGCTGCTGATGGTATTTGATTGAAACTGGCATAAGTATTTATCGCTGCAGCTACCTAATGACTGAAAACTTGACTGGCTAATTTAACCTTCATTTTTAGAAAGTTAGTTGAAAATAAATTAGAATCAGTAAGTTTGGGTGCTAGTCTATATTGCTTTTCCCTATCCAAGTTGTAAAGTTGTTCAAGGTGACTTTTGTTCGTTGTATATTCATCAAATTTCAAAAAGTCACCAAAAAAAGGTTTCTGCTACATTTCAGCAGATGAGGAGTATCAAAAAAGTAAAATATTTTTTCTCATCAACAAAGAAATATGTCTGCTCTACAGTCACTTCGAGATCTTTTCTGGCAAGTTTATAAAAATTAGAATCTAAGTCTGAAATGATACCCCTAACTCTAAATCCAATTTTTGATAATTGCCTAACAGCTTCAATCACAATGCTTTTTATATCAGGTATTGATGTGGATGAATTGGCAAAAAAGTATGCAACAGGCCGTTTTCAGTTCTGATGTATGTCTTTTGCCATGAGTACCAAGGCATATTGTGCTACAGAAGCCAACTATTCCACCCTTTCCTATATTGTAAAATAAGTGTGACTTGATGCTCATTTCATCGAAACAATGGTATTAAATAGATTGAATCAAAATTTCATGAGAAACAAAAAAGAGGTAGTTTAGCAAACGTTTATTTCGCTTGGTTTTGAATCGTTTTTCTGAAATAACTTTTTTATATCATTGGGTTGGATGTTCTAAATCAAAACTTCAGTATAAAATACAGATATCTTAATTTTGGGTTGCCTAGTTTGCTAATTATGAAGTGCGTCAATCGAATAATATTCTAGTTTTATTGTTATTGACGACAGAATGTAAGAAAAGACATATTTTCAATTTATGGTAGATTATTTGGAACATATAAATGGAAAGTATGCTCCAAAAAAGGTTATTTGAATATACATTTGATATTTTGCTTTTGCAGAAATTTCAGTGGAAGTAATTTTTTTCCTACATATACATACTAGTCAAATCAAAAACTTGATGTGGTTCAACAATCATTATTCTTTGTGGATTCCCAGTGGAACTCCGATTGTTTTGTTTTGTCATTTCATATCATTACTTGTGAGGAATATATTCTTTGCAAAGTTCAATTTCATCAAATTAATTTCATAAAAAAAAGTCTGCATATTAATGACCCCACTATAGATATATGGTCTATAAAAATTTATTTTATGATTTTTGTTATATGTTCATTTCTTCAATCGTACATAATAAATACCATAAAGTCATACCTTTTTTCGTCAATTGGAAATCGAATAAAATTAATGCCGACATCACCCTGCAAATTACATCAACTCGACACTTGTTCATTCTTCACAAATACAAAACCACCACTTACAACGACTCACTCTGTAATAATATTCTATTCCATTTGAAGTTTCCTGTCCAACAGCTCCTGTTCCAATAGTGATAACTTATTATTAAGTTTCTGAGATTTTTCTGTGGTTTCTTTGATGAAAGATGGGGTAAAATTTGAAAGTACCATAGATTTCTCCTCTATAAAAATATTTAGGCTTTGGAACATCAATGGAAAATTGAGTGGATCATTGTTTGTTATTGAATGTAGTAAAATATTAGGCTTCTTTATCTCCTCTTTGTTATACTCGAGAAGTGAATTATTGCTAGTGAGGTAGGATAACAATTCCTTAGATTCTAAAAATAAATGATTGATTTGTTTGAGCATATCCCATTCATTTTCTAGATGTTTTATATTCTCCTTGAGGAATTTTATTTCAGGATAGAGTGGATATTTGTTACGAAACTCCTCTTTAGTGAGCAAAAGCTTTTTTCTTGCCTCTCCAATCTTGTCATTCAAGTCTGCCAGATCTGTTACCAAAGATTGTGCTTGCTCTTTAACTTTCTTGTATTGATTTTCATATTTGATTAAGTAATTACTTGTGCTATTTTCTATTTTAAAGGTAGCTGTTTTCATATTGTTTATTGTCACCCTCGTCATGATGGCATTTTTATTAGGTTTAGGGCAAGCAAATAAAGCTGATTCTTTCGTTTTACGTAAATGTTCGTAAACAACTAATTGGGATAGTTTCAACATAAACTTTGTAAATTTTAAACCTCCTGGAGATATAAGATGAGAGGGCATTATATGAGGTATATCTGCATTTTCATAAATAGAGTTGAGCTCATTTATGTATTGTAAAATTTCACTACGAAATTTGTTTTCCCTCCTGATTTCATAGGGAGGCCAAGTTGATAATTTCTGTCTTGTAAGTTCAGGATTTAGTATATCCAGTAGGTAATAGGCTACTTCATAAAAAGCTGCTTTGTTGTTTTTTACAAACATATCCTTTTTGAAAATGCGTTTGAAATCCTGAGATGGTTGATAAAAATACTTGAGTGCACATAAATTGTCATAAAGTTGATCATGAATCCTGTTTTCATTTTCTTTGTATTGTCGAAGGTTTGTGGACATTTCAAATCTGAAAAGGATTCCTTTGAAGCACATAAATCTTAATCATATATTGATGTAACTTACATAAACCCAGGAACCCCAGAAACAAATCACGAAATGGGTAGGAATATATGATTATTCATAAAATTTATATATTGATTAATGGAATTCAAAATATTGAAATCTAATCATATCGCTGGCACTGCTCCCAAATTATTCGAATATAACATAACGAACAAATTATAAAATATTTCGAATGAACAGCATTGCCTGATCTCACTGCTGTCAAGCACTGTAGTCAAATTTCAAACTAACATCAAGAGTCTAGAGACAAACATTCGTCAAAAAGTACACGTACGGAGCAGCCATACTTGGCCGAATTTTGCAAAACTTTTGTGAATAAAATAGCTGCCACAAATTGGCTTGATGCGCCGCAATGGAAGCAAAATCCATTAACATAGGGAAAGAGCTGCCACAAATAAGTTTGAATATCTCAGCTTTATTGCGACGCAGATGAATTATAGAATAACAGAACAAATATATCACACATATGTCATCCTATATTCACATTGGTTTCAGATATGGATGCCTGAAATCTGGAATAAATTCTATTAACCCAACAACGGAGACAGCTGACTCCGTTATGATCCTGAAAAATGAAAGTTTTCAAAATTAACATTTGCTTTCCGGGAAACCCAATTTAAAACGTTACTTTTCCTAGTTTAAATTCCAAAATCTCTATCTCGAATTGAAAAAACAAAAGTAATAAGTTTATAGAAAAAATTTTTGAAGCTCAATCGAATTCAAAAGTTGTGAAAAATCAAAAAGGAACGTACGTAATCCAGGGCGTCATTCTTCAGATGGTGCATTCGCCTTTCAATTTACGAAAAACCCTGGAAATAAATTTACTTCTCAGTCCTCCACCTTGATGAAAGTCACATACTCCCTATCCCATTCAAGACGTGGCTAAAAAAACTTTCATCTGCCAGTCCGCAAACTCGTCTAAAGAGTTATTTAGAAGGGATGTAAAAAATGTTTTTGTCTATAGACAAATTAGCTTTAGTTACTTATTATTTTATGGTTATGTTTATCTCTATTATATGCGTTTTAGACGAGAATATATTTTATTTTTATTATTTGACTTGCACTTTGAAAATTGGGCCCTTTCGCTTACGCTTTGTCAATAAGTATATCTTATGACATTGAAGCCTATTTATTTTTATCATTATTATTGCTATTATCATCATAATTTTCCCGAAGGTTGAGCTGTCATTATAATAGTGATCTGAATTAGGACTTGAATTGGAATAAGAAACTACTACACGAGATTTAAATGAAGATTCTATAAAATATTTTCATCAATTTCAGCTTCATAATTTGCTTATAGCCATAAATCAATTGTGACATTTCACAAATTGAGTGGGCATACTTGGAGACTGGCTGTAAATCAAATTATCAGGCCAGTTCAAATTATACCTACACTGTAGTTTATTGGACTATCAGAAAACAACTACTTCCCTGGCTAATACCACGAAGGGCGTTGGATTATATCCGACAGGTGTAAGTACAGGATTCTTCACTGAAGTTATTCCTGCATATGCTGTTGGCAATACAACTGCCGAAATCGATTTTCAATTATTGCAACACACTTACAGACCGGTTTCGAGCTATTTGGACACTCACTCATGTTGATGATAGACACTGGTGTCCATCATGAACATGAAGTCGATGATTTTCCATAATTGAAAATCGAATTTCTTTCAAAGTAACCCACCGCCTATCCGAAATTTACCCAATTCCTCGTATAAGGAAGAAAAAGGGAAAAAATGAGTGGGCATACTTGGAGAACAGTTGTATCGCCAAAAACATATGCAGGAATAACTTCAGTGAAGAATCCTGCATTGACACCTGTCGGATATAATCCAACGACCTTTGTTGTATTAGCCAGGGAAGTAGTTGTTTTCTGATAGGTGTCAGCCATTAACCTACAGTGTACTTAATTTGAGACTGGCCTGACGAATTGTTTTTTTAAATAATTCAAATGTGACGTTGCCTAGACCGCGCCCAGCCCGGCCGACGTTTCACGGTTGTTCGATGTTCGCACCGGTTCGATGGAATATTGACGAATAAATCCACGAGTAAAACGTAACAGTTAAGAACTGTAGTTAAATTCTAGGTTAGGGGGAAAACGTGATAGAAATTAGTTAATAAGGCATCATTGTAACTTAGATATTGCAATTTTGTATGCACTTGGTTGAAAATATTTTTAATAAAGTGCACTTCCCAGCCTTGGTTCGTTATAAACTACATGAGACTTCTTCAAGCAGGGTAACATCAACGTCCAAGAAAGCGAATAATTTTTGCATAGAAATTTAGTAGAGTCAATAAATGCATCGAAGTGTAGTAGGCGGAGCCTAAGCGTGCTCGTACGCTGTCCACGTTAACTGTTCTTTTGCAGAATTGTGAAATTTCTTGAGAAAAAGCCAAGGGAAATAGAAATTTCCATATAATAAAATATATAAATCTCAGTAGAGATATCGGACGTTGCAGTAGTATTGTTTCACAAAAGAAAGTATTGGAGATAATTGAACCTTGGATTGTAAGAGAGAAATATTGTACAAAGGCGTATCCAGCTGTAGTTTCTGCGTGGTCAAGGCCTTTTTGAAGACAAGATCCATCGTTGAAACGGTTTTAACTTGTCCTTATCAAGACGACATAAAAAGAATTCGTTGACGACGACTTCGGCAACGAAGGACCAACTAACCGGCCTTCTTAGACGTATCTGCCCTATCTTCTTAGTTCCAAATACTTCGGGAGGTACGCCGACCCAGCTCACTACTAGTGGCGTAACCTAAGCGGGTTGCGTCACTAGTAGCCGGGGGCTTTAAACGTCCCAGTTCTCACCATCAGGCTAGGTGGATAGGCAGGTAAAGTCGCGAAGTCGAGTGTCGGATAGGTGTAAAAAATCGTAGGGAACTTTCTGGTCCGACCTTATGCTATCGTGGTGGCAAGTTGTATCTTCGCGGCACCTTCAGCTTAGTTAGTATACATTGAGATTCATATTCAAGTCAAATCTTTGATAATAAATCACGTTTCGCTTCGTAAAACTGCGAAGATGCAGACATTTTCGTGTTCTCAGATGCTAGGATACCATCAGGTCCTGAAGGACTGAATGTGAATTCAATACCCTCCGATGAACCATCGATCGCCGACTCTCGTCTAGGAGGGGCTTCGAAGCAGAAGATCTAATGCAGATCTACGCCTAGCCGGGTACTTCGTCAAAAGGACGTCCCGAATACGGACATACTGTCTTGACGACAGAATTAGTGTGGTTTTGTTCGGTTTGTTGTTGAGAGGCATAACACTTTATAAGTGTTTGTTTTCAGTGTTCGGCGGTTTTCTGCTATCAAAAATAAAGATTCAAAGAATTTGCATAAAATTTTGTGTGAAAAAAGAATCAAGAGCTCAAAAGCACTTGAGATGTTGGGATACGGTGATGGTACTCTGAGTCAGAAAAATGTTTACCAGTGGTTCAAGCTTTTCACTGAAAATCGAGAAGATGTGAATGAACGCCAATGACCAATGAAACCAACAACCAATGAAAATGTTGGGAAAGTTAATTTGACCAAAAAAACCGTCGCATGAGCATCGCTCAGTAATTGTTGAGTCACGTCCACGGCAATTCAGATTTGCTTAAAAGGGTACCTGGTGACGAATCATGGGTAGTATATGGTTATGACATCGAAACGAAAGTCCAATCGTCCTAATAGAAGAGCCAAAACTAAAAAAGGACGCCAAGTTCAATCACATGTCAAGGATTTCTAAGTTTTTTTCGATTACCGTGGTGAAGTGCATCAGGAGTTCTTGCCACATGGTCGTACGATCAATAAGGAGTATTATCTTGAAGTTATGCGCTACTTTCGAGAAGAAATACGAAGAAAACGTCCGGTATTGTGGAAAAACAATTTATGGCTTTTGTATCACGATAATTCACCTGCTCACTCATCATTACTTGTTCGTAATTTTTTTGGCAAAAAATATTGTAATCATACCTCTGCCACCGCATTCACCAGATTTGGCTCTCTGTGACTGCTTCAATTGTTATATTTCTCAAACTGAATTAGAATTTGTATAAAGTTGTATTTTAATTTTGTGCAAAGGCATGGGGTGCATTCGGACAGTCAGACGGGGGGCACATTCGTACGCGTACGAATGCTCCCCTTTAGATTTTATTAACCACTAGTACCTATATTAAATTTAATTTTTATGAAATAAAATATAGTGTCAGCTTTTAAAATTATCGTGCAGACAACACAATGACATATTTTCCCTTTTATGAAATATTCTACTTCTAAGAAAATAAAATATTTTTGATGAGTCAAGGTTATAATTAATATTTTATTGCAGAATCGTGGTGCGAAAATATAAAAAAAAGATACGCGTACTCAAGAAGTGGATGAAGAGTCAATGAATCTAGCAATTGATGATGTAATACAAGGACGGTTATCGTATAATCCTCAAGACATTGTTACTGGAACTTGTGAACCTTCCACCTCTGCCGCCGAGACACAATCTGTAACGAGTTCTTATCTTTCCATAACACCAGAGGTTATAAGACCTTATCCTACATCTGTTAGAAACAGAGAAACCAATAAAGGGAGAAAACCGGGTAAATCCCGTATATACATAAATACACCTGAAAAAACTGAACTAGAAGAGAGACATAGACAAAGAATTGATAAAAAAAGGAAGGCCAGAGCCAAAGCAGTGACCCGTAGTTTGAAAGAACTCTGTTCAATAAAAAGAAAGCTAACAAAATAGAAAGCAACGAAGATTCAGAGGAATCTGAAGGATCGCTATTTAGCTTGCGGGAGAGTTCAACATCTCCAGTTGATTTAAAAATGGACGAAGAGACTGATGATCCTAGTATCAATAATAATTCAATTGTGATACCAAAGAAAATCAAAGATAATTGTTATGTTTTGGTTAAGTTTGAAAAAAAAGACTTAGATTCACACTCTGTGTATCAGAGATGTCGCCATGATCCTCAACCACGCTAGAATGGCTACACTTTATACATTTGCAGTTGATTTAAATAATTATAATGTGCAATAAGAAACAACCAAATGTGTGATTAACTACTTAAAGTTTAAATTGTCAGACTCTATATAACGATGTCATACAAAATGTAACCATCTCATTTAGACTGATTGTAAAACTTAGAATTATCAATAAGTAAATTAAGGACGAACGATT